GCCGTGAGGCCGTTACACGTCGTATCAAGGTCGGCCATCGTTCTTGGATTCTATGGGTGAAGGCGCGTTGCACATGGATAGACGAGTTGGTGACGGAGGGGGATTTCGGTATGAAATTGTTGTACCTTGGTAAGGTGCGGCGTGTAGGGAGTACGGCATGAAGGTCTTTCCCCGTATGTTCACTGCGTGGGTGCCACTTTGTGTCCGTTCGTGATGTAGTGTTGTCGTACATACGTTCGGAGCAAAGTTTCTTGCTGTGGGTGTTTCGTGGCGCGGTGTTTTTCTCCTGTTGTGCCGGCAAGCAGCAACAGCAACAGCGACAGCAAAAGCACAAAGGCAGCAAACTGCAAAGATAAGGTCAGCAAACACAGATAGAAGCTGCAAAGCCGGCCGGTGGTTATTGTTGCGGTGTTCAGTGGCTTGTATTTGTGCGCAATTGTATGTATGTTTGTATGTATGTATGTATCTGTTCAAATGTGGGCGAGAATGTACTCACGCGCGCGCGTGTGCGTGTGTAAGTGTATGTAGGTGTGTGTAAGAGGGTGTATGTGTGTGTGCATGCGCGCACGCGTATACGTATGTGTATGTGTGAGGGTGCTACTGTTTTTACTTGTGATGGAGAATTCCCAACTGCCCGCGATGTGCCCGTGTGCGTATTAGTACGTTTCTGCATTTTGTGCGCAGCTGCTCATGTTGTTTTGCTGTGCAAAGTCTGTGCTCGTTGCGTCCCCTGCTAGCTGGTTAACAACGTGCCTGTGTGTGTATTTCCCTGCCCACCTCCCGCCTGATCCCCCCGCCGGTCTGAGCGAGCCTGGGCGAGGACTTACGTCGGCCGACTCGCCGTCGGCCGCCTCGCCGTCAGCCGCCTCGCCGTCGGCCGCCTCGCCGTCGGCCGCCTCGCCGTCGGCATCTCGCCGTCAGCTTTCCGCGTTTCCACGTCACGGTTTGTCGTACCTCCGGTGCGTCACGCGCTAGTTAAACGCATCCCTTGTCTGTTCTGTGCATTTCCTTGTTGACGTTGCCTTATGTACGTCATTGTACAGTTTTGCAGGGCGTTACGTCTTGTTCGTTAGTTGGTTGTAAAGCGCTGTTGTCTGTTGTGGGTTTTTGTGGTTGTGCCGCATGCGACGTGCTTGTGCAGTCTTCTTTTGTTTGCATCATAAAGCAGATCATGGCCGGGCAGCAGATCAGCAGCTGATAGGCAAAACAGCAGATCAGCAAACATCTAGGAAAGACAGCAAACTAGACCAGCTTACCGGCT